ATCTAAGATGCAGTGATTCTAGTCAAGGTACTTGTGCTAGGCTCGACATGACCTATGCGTACCTATGACACGAAACTCTGAAGTCGAATTTCAAGAATCAGCATTTCAGCCAGAGGACGTCCAACTGCTGATCATAGACATTGAGGCTTATTATTGGTTGAATTTATGACTGAGATTGAATCGAGTTTAGAGCATTGTGTTAATGGCACAGGTCCTAATGTAGTTTTGTAATAATGCTAACCAACAAAAATGTAGTTTGATATGATGTAGAGTAAACAACAGGCTGTGCTTGTGTTTTGTTATGGTAGCTTCGAATAGGTTTTGTAAACGTAGTCAATCTTTAGTAACAGATGCAGACGATAGTTTGGTAAAGGCACTTTGTACTGTTAATGCCACCAAATAATGGAAGATTAATTATCGCCTTTATTCTCAAGTCTCTAACTGCGACTGCAAAGTCTTCTAGAGTGCACCGAACTCACATTTTTCAGTGATTAGCACAAGCACAGACATTATGAAACCACAGTCGTTAATATTTATTCAAATTGTTTGCTTAGTTTCAGCTAGATAATTGGTATTTAATAAAAGGGTTATTTATCATTGCAGGGTGTATGCGACAGGTTTCAAATAACTAAAGGTACTCGTCATATTAAACTTAAACTAAATTCGTCTAAAAGATCTAAGATATTATGAAATATTCTTAAAACAAACAGGTTTTTAACATCTTTATTTATGTTCTAAATTCAGGCGTTTAACTCGTGGAACCCTAATTAAGTGGTCGCTTGAAACCGCGGTAACAATTGATTTCTATTGTGTATCGATTCGCTGGCACTTGAAGGGCTACATGTTTCATCATCATCATTTCAGCCACAGCACTTCCACTGCTTAACATAGACTCCTCCAATGATGAAATAATTGTTCTTTATTATTGTGACTGTACCAACTGTACCCATGTCATTTGTGTAACGCACCGCGCGATTTTTCTTTTCAATTACTTGCCGGCTGCCATTCTGGGCCTAATACCCCATTCAGTCCGAAGCACCCTCTTTGAATGTACGTGCCCGTGGCAGCCATGTTTGTGACTAGAGGTCTCCATCACGACAGGACCTCTCATTTACAACTGTAAAAGTTATCAGAGACAGTATGGCCATTGAATATCCTGACGCTGACTACTATCTGGGATTTGGTTGTGGAAAAACTGGTTACATTTTCTAATTTCATATTATTTTACTTTTGCCGTGATGTAAGGCAAGAACAGTATAGCACGTCGTCGTGTGGTAGCTCGCAATTATAGAGACCCGCTTCGATTCCCGATCAGATCATAAAAGAAGGATTGAGTATTTTAGCTTGAGACTACGACCAAATCAATAAGGTCATCAAGCTCATTCTACGTATTATTTTCTTGAATATAATAGTAATGTTTTCCCAATAATAGAACTAATTGTTAAAAAGTGCCCTGTGTTTAAAAACAAAATTCCTGAAACCAAGCCGAAATATAGCACGTCGTTAAAACTCCAATCGAGTGCCATCAGACTCGCGATTCCGAACCGATCGGATGTCTATAGAATCGCATTTTCGATGTCAACTGGCAATTCTGGAGGAATGGTGATGGCGCCCGCTGATTATGACGTTTCACAGCGGAGCGGAATGACGCTTGGGCAGTTTCGGTCGTTATTTTACACGGGCAGGAGTATTAGGTAAAGCGATGGCAATTAGGCGAAAAAAGCCCATTGGTGTCGGCATCAGCCTGCCGATTCGAGACTCGAAAAACGCTAGTTCGATCCCCATCCACGACTTCTGCACTATCGTATAGTGAATCCTCTCCTCATTTTATGACAAATTACAAAAAAAATTGATAATAATATTAAATGTGCACCAAAAAGTAGAAAAATAATTTCTGTTGATTTTTTCGAAGTCTGTGCCAGCATGCAAAGGTGCCAAGGTTAAAGAAACGTAGGTATATAATTTTCCGACACAATAACTTTTAACAGTGATTTAGTTATTTAATTTTCATTGCGATTACGAGTAACTTGCAAAAGTCTCGTTCACTATACTTAATACAAGTCCGAAACTTTTAATACTTATGATAATGCGATATGGAAGGAATGAAGAGCTTTCGGTCGAATTGAAATTCCGAACTGTCCTTATTTAATTGGTTTATTCATTACATTAAGCACTTAATTTTACGCACAGTTTTAAAATGTTAATATCGGTGACTTTGGAATTTTTCCCCATTAACCTTTTGATTCTTGCAGATTAGCTGGAAGCTGGAAAATAGTAGAGTTTGTAAATACTTAGGCCCTAAGTAGTACACCGGGTTTTTTAAATGCGCAGGCGCCGACGCATTTTTCCGTAAGACTTTTGTGTGTACTTATCGCGTCTTAAGTAAAGGTAAAAGTAAAATAAAGGTAAACTTTTTTACGCCATACTTATTTTCGAGTCATGGATCGTGCTTTGTCGCCGGACCGTGTATTTTTTATGTGACAGGAGGCAAACGAGCAGACGGGTCACCTGATGGTAAGTGATTATCGTCGCCCATAGACACCCGCAGTCCCAGGTCAGGGGCCTGGCCTTCAAGGTGAAGATACGCTCTCTTCTTGAAAGATTGCAGGTCGTATGGGCCCAGAAAACCAGAAACACCGGAAATACCAGTGTAGAAACCAGCTCGTCAACACGCGCCCTTACTCCTCTGTTTGTCTTATGAATAAGGACTTGGATCAAAAACCGCGATGTGCAGTCATGAATATTTTATCATGAAAATGAAAAGAACAGTCACGCCCCTTATTAGGGGAAGAACGATGCGGGGCCATTTTAATATTCTTCCCCGCGTCCCAAATAATCAAATTGATGGATACTCCGCAAGAGAAATAATAGGACTGCCAATCACGACGTATTATGAAATAACCGGAAATTTTTTAACGGTTACAAAGAGCTTCGTTTTGATGTATGTTGTAGGGCACGTATTTATTATTATTAACAGATGCCATTCAGACACGTGCCCTAATAGGAATCGCGTTTCAGCCCGATTATGGCCACTGCTGGGCAAAGGCCTGCCCCAAGGATTACCATAACGATTGCTCGTAGAGCTAATGGCTGGGACAGAAAAGTTCTCGAGACCGACCACGGGCCAGAAGACGTAGTGTGGGCAGGGCCCCCACTAGGTGGAAGGGCTAACAAGTTCTGGGTAATCTTCGATGGACTACTTAAGAGCTTTGCAGGTAACTCTACCTTCTATTGATCCTTTAGTTAAAGATAAATATCAAAGGTTGATTAATTTCAAAGGAGTAGTCCATAAATTGTATCGCTTTCATCATTTTATAAATGACCAAAATAATTTTCTAAATATAGACGCGATTTCTCACTGAATTAATTATGTAGCTTATACCTCGGAGACATCATTCAATAGTACTTTTTCCGAGAATTTTATCAGAAGAATTTCCTCAAAATACTCGTAAGTTATTATCACCAAGACTATTTCAGTATTTATCGTAATAAATGCTATTTTAGTCACAATATAAGTCTTGGGAATTTTTTATTAAGTCTACTAAGTCGGAGCGTGTTCAACAAAAAGAAACAGAGTTGAATTTGTTTCTTAGATAAAAATATTTGTCTTATACAAAAATAAAATTGTTTCAATTATTTACTCAAAAATAAATACGGCTCTGTCAGAGACCCACGCTCTTTTAATAAAATCAAAAGAAAATCCCCGGTCGTCTCTTTTTTCTAAATATAGCCACCTATTTCTGTTTACACAATTCGTTCTGTTTATGGCAACCTTGTCCTTGCTCAATGTTAATTGTGGAATTGATTGGTTGTGTTCCTTAATTGATATGACCAGTCTATTTCAGTGCGTTATAATAACAGTCTATTTGCGGTAATCGGACCCGAGGATAAATTGGACTAAGTCAGTTCACGGACATGACGTAGGTAAGAGCTCTGGGAAAACACCATAAAGGTAAACATTTATATTACGGTATCTTTGATATTATATTTGAAACTCTTCCCATGATCTTCTGATTAAATTCGCTACGGGTTTGAAGACAGAAAGCTATCCCTCGGGACTGAACAACCTTCACTGGTTGAGTTTTACTAGAGACAAAAATGAAGATCCTGACTATACAGGAATTGCAGTGGTTAACTGTAAGGCAGTCACTCCTCAATTCAATCTTTTTTAAGCATTAACTTGCGTAAACAGAAGTAGTCTTGCACCCATGTGAAAAGCTGAAAAGCGCTGAGAAGAAGTTTCATTTACAAAAAACAGTGAGCATCAGTTGTTTTTAAATTGGTCCAACTGTGATTTTACATGTGTAACTCAGCTAGAAATTGAACCCTTAAACTTCGGATCGAAAAAATTCAACTCTATAAACTTTATCTAATGGAATTCATGGTGTCCCATTATAAACCCAAAAGGTCTCTAGTTCTACTCTACCACTAGGAAATACCGAATTATCTATCAATTNCATCAATTTTATCGTAATGGAAATATCCTCAAATTACGCACTATAAAAACTGTCGGATGATAAACAATTTATTGCATTAAGAGCGCCTACTCATAGTAAAAATGTGGGCTTATATTGCGTACATCAGGGCATCAGCATCATTATGATTATGACATAAGACCGCATTACGTCACCGTCATACTTGACAGAATGCGCGTGACGTACGGTGCATGCGGATATGAGCGTCATCCATCTCCCCTGATGACACTGGCTTAATTTAAGGCTAACAAGGATTAATGATACTTTTAATGATATTTTGTTTAATGAGTCGTGAGATTTTATTAATTTCATGCCTCTGGTCCGGATTTTATTTCACAGGTAGGTAGTACTGTGGACTGTTTATAGTCAAAACAATTCCGTAGTTTGTAAAAATGACAAGAGGGAGGCAACTAAGGCAAGTAGGTAATTATTAAATTTTTAAGTAGGTATGTAAACCCAAAACTTGATAAAAATATTTTTATTCTTATATCATAATTATTTAAGTATGAGTATTATCTAGTTTACATTATTATAATATCCATAACATTCTCATAATAATTTTAAAGCCCGTCTTGTGAAATGAGCGTCGTTTTTAATATGGGCCAAGTTTTCAGTTACTAATTGTAGGATTATTTTGTGCAAGAACTCTTAAAATGAACTCCATTCTTACAAATGCTGTGTTTTAAGCCAAACTATTTCTTATTGTAATAAATATAAATATCTTTGGTGAATCTTAATTAAGTAGCAATCATAAAAATTAAATTAATAATCGTGTACACAGGATACGGTGCGCTACACTTCGCCGCACTGTGCTAGGGAAATTCCCTGGCTATTTTACATTAAAAACATCATAAAAAAATACCTCTACGTTTAATATTATGATGACAATAATTAGCAATATTTATTGTTAAAATATCACTTTTTAAGTGCAATTACTTTGACGTAATGCGGAACATGAAAATAGTGTTGAGTGTTGTGAATGAATAATTTTTTTTTCATCAAAAAATTAAGAGTCAAGTCATAACGTATCGTGTGTACACAGCCTTATCTTATAGGTACTCAATAATCAAATCACAGGTACTTTATCGACACAACCTTATCCACCTTTAGCACAACGTAGCGTTTGTCACCGACATCTTGTACAGCGCTTTCCCGAATGAAACTAGAATATTGTTCTCGTTGTCAAAAGTCATCCCTGATATGTGATTCATGTGTGCAACCTTCACCACTTTAGACTCGCCCAGGTTTCTCATAATATCCACTTTGTAAATCCCATCAATCCACCAGGTGTAAACTACACCATCTAAATCCACAGTCAGTCCTCTAAAGAAAGCATTTTTGGACAACCAATGAGTCTCCTCTCTCTTATTCAGAAATAGACCAAACGTGCTCAGAAATACGATCACATTATCCTTGTTTATTACAAAATTCTTGATGGGGATGTATTCTAGAACACTGTTGAACGTGTCGCCTTTCTTAACGATGATTCTGGAGTCGTTCGACTTCACAATATACAGGTTGTTGCTGAAGAATAACGTTAGGATTTCGTCTCCTAAAGAACTGTACCAGGCAAGTTTCTTCGAGAGATCGTACGTGAAAATTCCGTCTCTACCACCTAAGTATACAAGCGACTTTTCTTGATGTATAGCGAAGGTACCGAAGTTGTGGGTCGTGGAGTTGTCATTGACCATTCCATTAATATCTATGTTTTCAATATGAATGTAGGCAACCTTATAATACTCAGGATCTGCGATTTCTGGTTCGTAGCTGTAGAAGAGGATGTTTTCGGAGTGGAGTAGTTCCATCTTATTGATAACGATATGGGTTCTGAAGTTAGCTTGCAGGTCGAAGAGGTACATGACCTCGTAGCAGGTGGTGTTGACCTTGACGCAGGTGTTGCAGACGTCCTCGGCTTTGGACAGCGCCAGGTGCATCACGAAAGCTGCGAGGATCAACATGACTGTGTCTGGAAAGATAGATGGACGTTTTATTAAGCATGATAATAACAGAACAAACTAAAACAGCTCATCGGACTATAATTTTTTGTTGCAAAATAGCACCTATTGCCACAATATAAGATGTAGTATTATATAGATATATTATATAGCTTATCTTAGTGTCAATCATCTGTACAATATAATTTTGTAAAAGTTTCATTGGTTTGGTAGAGCTTTAAAGTTAACAACATTATTATGGCACTGATTTTTGAAAGCACTAATCCATTAACATATACGCAATAAAAGAGGGCACGAAAAATATNTTAAAACAGCTCATCGGACTATATTTTTTGTTGCAAAATAGCACCTATTGCCACAATATAAGATGTAGTATTGCTTATCTCAGTGTCAATAATCTATACAATATAAATTGGTTTGGTAGAGCTTTAAAGTTAACATTATTATTATGGCACTGATTTTTGAAAGCACTAATCCATTAACATATTATACGCAATAAAAGAGGGCACGAAAAATAGCGCTCATACTCGTACATAGGTACTGAATCTAACTAAAGAAATATACGGCCTTGACCTCTTTTCTTTTAGTAATACAATAGGAAAAACAGTTCTAATGTACTATCATATTTTTGTACAAAATAAACAACTCTACCGAATAGGCAAGCAAGGCAAGGCAGTAACCTAGTCACATAGAGTACACAAGTAAATTATACTACTTCAAAACTAACAATATTGAGTATATTTGCTCTACCATACAATATGTAGCGTTAAAAAAACTAGTTGCGTGGGATGCTTGTTTTTTAAACATGTTTTGTCTATGACAACAACTCGTTCCTAAAAAAAAGCTAACCTTTTCTAAATTCCAAATTAACTAAAAACGAACCTGGCCCAAAATGAATAGAGAAAAACAACAATAAATACACCATAGTTCACACAAAGTCGCAATAAAACCATAAACACCTTCAACCACACCGAAGTACACTGACACACTGAATCGATACCGCCGTTCCAAATAAATAATTAATACCTTACTTGGACATAACTGCATATTTACTGCACAAGCAACAGGGCTAAAAATACTAAAATCAATATTGTCTTCTACCCACGGAAATAGTGCGGCCTTGAACCGTTTCGGTTAGTGGAAACGTGGGGTAGTAAAGTTTTTGTTTGAAAGTAGAGCTTTGGCTGGGCAAAAGGCATTGGGGATGGTAATAAGCATGTAAGCTTAGATTAATATTTGATTCCTTTTTGACAAAAATATAGCTTCTCTGAATTTTACTATGAATTACATCAAACAAAAAGGTACCACTCACTTAGGGTACAAATGGTTTTTTACTTTTTGTTAGTACTCATGTATTTTAATACAAAAGATGAACTTAATGCCTCTAACAGGTAAACTTTGAGCCAAACAGACATGAGAGTAGGCGGTACCTAAAAGTACTATAATACTAGACTTGCATTTTAAAACTATAAAACTTGTTTCAGACTTTTCAGTCAATTAAATAAGCGCTTCACACTTTGATAAGGAGCTTAAACGAGCAAATACCTAACTATGCGACTAAATTATGACTGAACCAGGACAAATACATACCCACAACATAACTCCAAGTCTTTGAGCTCGCATCATTCCTGGAAGCCATATGGAAATGTGCCCGTATCTCAAGACGCGACACGTCCAAATGTATGCAAACTGCTGGCTAACGGAGTTAGTCCCTTTGCCTCTGTTGCAATAAGCTACAACGTCTACCAGCTATTTTAGCACTGTTTTTGCCATTTCTATCCTCACTCGAACTTTTTGGACAAGGATGGTTGGCAGGATATTCGCTCAGCAGTGGGACATGATACTCGTAGATGTAAATTACCTAGTCTCAAACTAAGCAAAGCATACCTACTTGTACCTGACCCTATGTAACGGCTGATGGATTTAAACATACTTAGCAATCGATTCATACTATGAATTTACGTTAAAAGTTAGTAACTCCGGTTATAAAAGCTCATGGTCATTACACTAACACACAGAACTAACATGTCCCCAGCAGTATTTGAACCACCAACTTTGAGTTTTAAAGCTGGTTAAAATTGAAACTCTAGCTGGTTTCTAGAAATGCAGTAACGTAGGTAAACATTTCTGTACGAAAACTTTGTAAACTACAGCAGTTAGTAAACGCCTCAATAACCTTAATGTTAACTGAATATTCTCCCATCATTAACTTTTAGCTGCTGCACCAAAGTTTCAACTGTAAATTCTGTAAATGCCAATACAGTTTCTTATTTTCCAAATTGTTATTACTATCACGTATCCGATTCGTGTTTTTAATCCGAGACGGAACTCTCCTATACTTCACTCTTATTAAGAAAATTCACAGGTATCGTACGAAAGGGGAACTTTTTGGCATAAATTCTCTCATGTCAATCTTTCTTTGTGCAAAACTAAAATCGCATTACAGTTATGTTATGTATTGTTACCTAGGTAGGTACTTTGTAAGCTTTACTTAGTTTTGAGACTGAAAGTCCCAGCAACTAAGTACCCAGTTGTTTTGATTAATAGAACAGTTTTCCGTTCCAGAAGTAAGTAGGTACCTAGCTACAGAATTATTGTTTAAATGCAACGTATCCCTTCTAATGCATACAAGCCTCGCTGACTAACGGCGTTAGTCCGCCTTTGCGGATTTAGCAGCGAAAATCCGACTCATTGGGATTTTCGCCAATCTCCGAATTTAACTCTCTATTTTCAAAGGATTTTGTAACTGGTAAACGGAAAGAGCATTTTGAGGAACGAAACATTCAATTGTTTCTATTTAGCTACGTTTAAGATTAGCTTTTATACATGACATAATAAGAATGAATACCTTCTAAAACCCCAATATCTATATTAGATTACAACATAAATCATAACAATAAAACTTCAATTTAAAATCGAAATGCAAACATTTTTTGTTTAAAACTCATAAAACACATTTATTTTTGCAAACAGGCTTATAAAAAGCACTTTTACACGTCCCAGTATTAACCCTACCACTGCTTCGGGACAATAAATGGTCCAGAGCTGAGAAGAAGCAGCGCAAGAAAAGTCACTATTGTCAGCTTTGTCTGAAATGCGCATAGGTTGCTTTTTGCTTCCGTGACTTCATAAAACATGGAAAATATAAAAAAAAACAGCATTTTATCAAAAACCGTCTGATAAAATCCCAATTACGTCAATTAGGTTCCTAAACTCTACAGCTGCCAAATCCAGCCAATTTGAGGGTTTGACGCACTAGACTAGTTACCTAACCCGAGAACGCCTGCAGTACCTACGTCACACCAGTCGAATAGATACCACTCCGCACTTGGCACGTAACCCGCATTAGGCATAAGTACTAGGCTATTAGGGGATAAAAATATAGTTTGAAATAACAGTAAAGTGCCTAACCTACTGGTATCGTAGTACTGCGGTATTATTGAGTATTGAATATCTAGTGCTTTTGATTTTATGGATATCCACATAAAGATAAACACTGCGACACTGCGGCTTTTATACAAAGTAATAGGTGCGAATTTGCTACAAAAAATTAAAATGTGCTGTCTCTTAACTATGGCTTCTACGATATCTGACATAATGAAATTAAATGATACACTAATTTAGGTTCTAGATCCCTTAGATCCCTTTACAAGAAATGCAACGCAAGAAATTCATTTTCATTTAATTCGTGATTTCCAACTTTTTTACATGATTACCAACAAAATGCAACATTACTTGTAAATTAATTAAAACAAAAATAGGTTTGTACAATCGACTACACAAAAAAACAAAACCTTCAACTATACAAAAGCTGTCACTTACCTTAATCTGTACCACCACAAAATTTAACACTAACTTTTTTTTCAGATTAAAAAGCATTAAGGTTTTATATACCGCCGAATTAAAAATAAAAAACAAAACTAACCTTTTTCGTTCCGTCAGAAGAGCATTGTCGCACACCACTGCCACATCGGCCCACCACCACGGCCGCGCGTCGAATACCACCACCACGGCACACGTAGAGTCGCGTGCAAGCTCTCCAAGGTTACCGCTAATTCTTTATTAATGCTATGGTTTTTCAGGCTGAGTGGACATTTCATGCATCCACGCCATGAAGGTACCCAACCTTCATATTTAAACGTAATTCCGAATACTCATTGATGGTATTCCGTGAATCTACACTAATAAATATAGAAGAGGAAAGATTTGATTGTTTGTATTGAATAGGCTCCGAAACTTTTTAAAAACGATTTGAAAAATTCTTACACTATTAGAATCCTTACATTATCCCTGATGAACATTAGGCTATAAGATAGATAAGTTAAGGCAACTTTTTATTGGCGGTACGAAGTTCGCCGGGCCAGTTACCTATTAATAAAAATGAAAAACGTGTGCATGCAGATTAACAGAGTGACATTTTATGAAAATTATATTATCGAAATCATCAGATGCGACAGTTTAATCAAAACAGGCTCGTATCCCTAAAGGAATAAGGGTAATCAACATGTAGGTAACGCCTGACGTGATGTCTAGTATAACTCACTCGAAAGTTTCATTAATCATTGTAGTAGTTTACATAATTTTACTAATGGCTTTACACAATCTTGTTGGTAGCACGCAAATTGCTTTACGAATAGGCAGTCGTGATTTCCACGCGATTTTGACAATTGAAAACTGTTGTTAGCGACAAAGAAACTCTATCAATTATTAATAACTCGAGTGGTACGAAAATACGAGTAGATAAGTATAGTCATTGGCTTAAGTTTAGTAAAAGCTACACGACAAAAAAAAGTAGATTTAAAAAAAGGATTAAAATTAATTAAAACAACCTACTCGTATCTACCTAGCATAAAAAATCGTTTTATTCAACACAAATGAAACAAATAATCCGGCGGTGTATAATTTTATTAATTGTAAAAACAAATAATATTTTATTATTACTGATTGCGTATCGCGTTAATACCTACCTATGATTATGTTACAAATTAACATTTATATTTTGGTATGGTGTGCAATAAATATCTTTCCTACTATATTAAAAATTATTTATTTCTAACCAGCTCCATTCCCTCCATGTTCCAAAACACGACACAGCTTATGGGTCCGCATAAAGGCTCCGAACGGCAACTAAATAATTATCGCCGTTGTCCATTGTGCAACCACTACATAGGAAGATGGTTCTGAATAATTATAGGGACAGGAAGTGACCGGAGCATATTATAATGTATAACTACATTTTGGGACAGTGCGGATGACCGCGGGATTTACAATTCATCGCATTCATATACGCTACGCGTGTTGGACACCATTCTGTTTGTAAACAATGCATCTCAAAAGTAGGGCATTTTATGTGGTTTTATGGGTAATTTATGGGTCTGAATCTGTGGTCAGAATAGTTCAGTGGTAGAGTTCGGTCCGAGGTTCAGTGCTAGATTCCTCAGTAGGTACGTACTTAAATTTACTACTTTGATTTTTTATTTTATTAGATTTGGAATCAGCCAACTTTTATCCACTAAAATAGTAAACAACTTTTATTCGAATACAATATTAATCTGTAGATACATTAAAATCGTGAGAAGGATCGTGGGTTCGATTCCGTTCGTTATGCTATGTAATGACTCTTCTAGAAGTACATAGATCATATAAATTAGAAGTAAATAATATTAATATCTTTCATAAGTTGTGTTATTGTCNTGTGTGTAACTGACAATACAGTTCTCGAAGCTCGCAAAATAAAGCAAGTAAATAATTTTATTGTTAAATGTGTTCAGTTGTTAACGTATTTACGTAACACTGTCTATTGTCACAATGCAACTCGTTTAAACAACGAGATAGCCGCAATATCTCGGAAAACAAGTAATGGTAAACCAAACCTCTTGTAGAGCAATGAAAAGATGTAAATAAGGTGGGAAATGTCGCCAAACGCACAAATTATTATGGATTATTTTAAGCGCTAACAAACTACCTACATATCTATTAGGAACTGCGGGTATCTAATTACGCGATAAAGATAATGACATTCTTTATCTAGATTAGATTTTATTAAACCCTTGCTGAGATCTAACGTTGCTACAAAACAGTAGATTTAAAGTAATATTAACATTGTCTTATCTTTGATACTTTAGTAATTTGTAAATAGTCAGAAGTTCAGGAGCGTCAAATTACTCGAGAGACCCAAAGTGGCCAAAAACTTGATTGATAACATACGCATTATAATTTTATTGTAACAAAGACTTGTTGCGAACTTTTTGGCTACGTACTTTGGGTGCTACGAACTACTTGACTGACTATTATGGATGTTTACACTCACCTTCTGTCCGTTCGTTTCATAGCCTCCGCCTCAAACCGAGTGTCGCTCCTGGTACTCATTTAAACTGCCTTTCACACCCCACCCAGAGTTTTGCATTTCTCAGCACCACGTTATGACAGATTACGGCCAGATCAACTTCTTTCATCTTGGATGAACCACAATTGATATGGATACGAGAAGGGTTAAGAGTAATTTTGAGGACTCACACATAATTAAAAAATATTTTAAACTAGTTTTGCTAAGTTACAAAGCAATAACTTCCGACTGACCCCGCCACAGATGAGAGACCCCGCGCACTGCCGGTTTTTTTTTTCGCGCCGCACAGAACCTGCTGACCACAGATGACACAGTCTTATATTTTTTCTTCAATGAGGTTGAATAAGCATCAAAACAGTCTTGTATTTATAAACTGTGAAGCGTATTAAAAATCTTAAAAATCTTATTTTAACAGTAAAAAATATTCAAAATTATTTTCTACAATTATAAACACGTTATTGGCTATTTTAAAAACAACGTCGAATCACTTTTACAATGCAATTACTTAAGAAATGCTGCTGTATGTTACTTCATGTGTGGTTGTCCACAGTTCTCGCCTTAGCCACGGCTTATTACGAACTTTTATTAGATAAGATGCTTACTTTGCTGTTATTTTCGCGAAATGAACTTGTGAGTGATTGAATAAGTTGTCAAAGATGTGATAGTACTACAAATTGGGAGAGTCCAATCAAACTTGGGACAGTTGGAGGTTCTCGCTCCCAGAGTTTGAAGATATTTTCAGAAGAATGGGGTAAATTTTACAAATTCTCCCAGGTGGACTACAAAATACGAAAAAATACGAATGAAGGGTAATTTTATTATCAGAGCACAGATTTGAACCACGTAATTCAGATGAACTTGATCAACTTTTACCCCGGTAGGTAAAGGTGATCTTTGAACCTCGTGCTGAACAACAAAGCAATTTGAAATTGTATATTTTAGAACGTATAACAACGTCATTGTTCACGGAAAAATAGCAGGCTTGTGAAAATATAGTCCAGTAGAATTAGCTTTTAAATCGGAAATAATTCCTACAAAAGATTTTATTGTTTTAATGGCTTCATTGCTTGCCCATTAAGACTCCCCTAAGTTTTCGACTTCGACGGAGTTGTGCTTAAGTGGTGGGGGCCCCCGAAAGGGGCATTTTTTCGGTTTTCCGGTTATACCGCGTAAAGAACTTACCCTATCAAAAAGTGGTCTTCATGACGGTTGAAGGGCACTTAATCCTGCATTGAATAAGACCAAATTCATATGTTTTGGACAAACCGTTCTCGCGCTAAAGTTCGGCAAAGTAGAAAATATACGTATAATTAATGACCCTCTCCACGTCCACTGGCTTGTTACCCACATGCTTCCAAGCCTTGTAAAGGGTCGCCTTAACCAGTGTAACCCTAACAAGGCTCACGAGTTTGATTCGCTTATCCTTGTTCGTCCCAGCCGTTCCTTAACTGCGGTTGCTGCACCTCTTCCTGGCACTCACCTGAACGACTCTGTGTTACCTACTGTGGCTGCCCCTCTTCCTTGTATCCTCCTGCATGATTACGTTGCCTAGCCGCATGCCTGGTCTAAGGTTCGACGCCAAAAATCAATAACAACAAGTTCATATTAAAATGCTGAAGAATTTTTTGTTTGTTTGTTTGAACGCGCTACTCTTAAGAATTACTAGTTTGATTGAAATCATTATTTTTGTGTTGAATAGCTCATACATTGAGGAAGGCTATAGGATATATACAATCACTCTACGACTAATAGAGGCGAAGCAGTAAAGAAAAATGTTGCAAGCACGGGAAATAGTATTTAAACTATTTTCACTCGTACGAAGTTGATTTTGTGGCGTCGAACCTTGGACCAGGCATATGGCTAAGCAATGAAATCGTACAGGAGGGTACAAGGAAGAGGGGCAGCCACATTAGGTAACACAGAGTCGTTCAGGAGAGTGCCAGGAAGAGGTGCAGCAACCGCAGTTAAGGAACGGCTGGGACGAACAAGGATAAGCGAATCAAACTCGTGAGCCTTGTTAGGGTTACACTGGTTAAGGCGACCCTTTACAAGGCTTGGAAGCATGTGGGTAACAAGCCATTGGACGTGGAGAGGGTCATTAATTATACGTATATTTTCTACTTTGCCGAACTTTAGCGCGAGAACGGTTTCTCTAAAACATATGAATTTGGTCTTATTCAATGCAGGATTAAGTGCCCTTTAACCGTCATGAAGACCACTTTTCGATAGGGGAAATCCTTTACGCAGTATTACCGGAAAACCGAAAAAACGCCCCTTTCGGGGGCCCCCACCACTTAAGCACAACTCTCTCGAAGTCGAAAACTAAGGAGAGTCTTAATGGGCAACCAATGAAGCCATTAAAGCAAAAAAATCTTTTGTAGGAATTATTTCCGATTTAATCAATTTTTGTGTTTAATTGAGAATGTTACTAGGTATGCAAAATCACTTAAAACCTATGTTACAGTTAAGCTTTTACATTTACAAATACATTAGTTTTTATTTCATTCAGAAATACCCAGTAGTTATGATTTTATAGGCATTCAAAGTTCGCTTAAATATTGAGTCCCGCCGACGGTCACGTGACCCCGTGTGACGTACATTCACAGCGTCCGCTCACTAGAAAACGGATATAAACATACTTAAATATTTTTTTTTTNCGTCATCCGCAGACCAACCCCCCCCCCCTAATTTAGAATGACGTAAT